AAGGCCCAAATGAGAAGCTGGGGTGACTCAAACATTCAGAAGTGGCTATGCATATAAGGGAACTGAAAAGGCCATGATTAGGCCCAGCCAAGATAGACTTCAGAAAAGACCTGAGAAGACCTTAAATTTTTACATTTAGCTTATCCCTAGGCTCAGAGACTATCCAGCTAATTAGAAATTGAGTCAGTCTGTAAAGACTGAGAGGTGGCTGTTTTCACAAATGACCAATCTTTAAAAAAAAAAAAAAATTACAAGGAATATAAAGAAACAGGAGAGTATGGCCCATGTAAGGGAGGAAAATAAACTGGCAGAAACTGTCCCTAAATGAACACAGGCATTAGACTTACTAGATAAATATATTTTTAAAAGATTTTATTTATTTATTTGACAGAGAGAGAGCGCACACACACACAAGCAGGGGAGTGGCAGGCATAGGGAGAGGGAGAAGCAGGCTCCCCACGGAGCAGGGAGCCCAATGAAAGGCTCAATCCCAGGACCCTGGGATCACGACCTGAGCCGAAGGCAGACGCTTAACCGAATGAGCACCTAAACAAAGATTTTAAAACAACTATCTTATATATGCTAAAGGAAAACACAGATGAAGAACTAAAGGGAATCAGAAATGAACAAAATGAGGGACACCTGGCTGGCTCAGTCAGAATATCGTGCAACTCTTGGTCTCAGGATTGTGAGTCAAGCCCCATCTTGGGTGCAGAGGTGTAGAGATTACTTAAATAAATAAAACTTAAAAAAAAAAAAGACATGAACAAAATGAGAATATCAACAGAGATACAATTTTTTTTTAAAGTCGGCTCCACACCCATTGTGGAGCCCTATGCGAGGCTTGAACTCACAACCATGAGATAGAGATCTGAGCTAAGATCAAAAGTTGGACACTTAACTGACTGAGCCACCTAGGTGCCCCAAGGGATAGAAATGATTAAAAACAAAAACAAAAACAAAAAACAACTGACAATTCTGAACCTGACAAAATACAATAAGTAAATGGAAATGTTCACTAGAGGAATTCGATGGCAGATCTGTGCAGGCAGAAGAAAGAATCAGCAGATGTATAGACAGGACATTTGAAATTAACAAATCTGGGGAGGGTATGTACTATGGTGAGCGCTGTGAATTGTGTAAGACTGTTGAATCACAGACCTGTACCTCTGAAACAAATAATACATTATATTTAAAAAAAAAAAAGAAGAAGAAGAAGAAGATAGCAGGAAGGGAAGAATTAAGGGGGGGAAATCAGAGAGGGAGACGAACCCATGAGAGACTATGGACTCTGAGAAACAAACTGAGGGTTCTAGAGGGGAGGGGCATGGGGGGATGGGTTAGCCTGGCAATGGGTATTAAAGAGGGCACGTACTGCATGGAGCACTGGGTGTTATATGCAAACAATGAATCATGGAACACTACGTCAAAAACTAATGATGTAAGGTATGGTGATTAACATAACATAATAAAAAAAATAAAATAATAAAAAATAAAAAGGGGGGAAAAAAAGAAATTAACAAGTCTGAGGAGCAGAAAGAAAAAAAGAATGCTTTCCCCCTAAGATCAGTAACAAAGCAAAGATGTCTGCTCTCACCACTTCTATTCAACATTATACTGAATGTTCTAATCAGTGCAATAAGGTAAAAAAGAAAAATAAAATGCATTCAAATTGGAAAAGAAGATGAAAATTATCAGATGTTATCATCATTTTGGAAAATACTAAATAATTTACTAAAAAAAGCCATTACAACTAAAATGTGAATTTAACAAGATTGCAGGATATAAGATAGATATTCAAACAAATTCTATTTCTTCATACTAACAATAAAAATTAGAAAATAAAATTAAAAAGCAGTATCATAAAATGTGAAATAGGGGTAAATTCACAAAATATGTACAAGACTTGTACAAAAAATATTTCTGAGAGAAATTAAATTAAATAAATGGAGAGATACACCATATTCATGGATCAAAAAAACTTAATATCGTTCAAGTGTCAATTCACTCACAGGAATTTTTCCTACAGATATACTCACATATGTGTACATAGATTTATAAATATATGAGGTTTGTGTCAGCATTATTATTCAGAACAAAAGACTGTAAATAACTAAATATCCATTAATAAAGAATTAAAGATGAGTTGTGTTATAGCCATATCAAGGAAGACATTACAGCCTTTAATGATATATACAAGATATATGTGTATTATTAAATGAAATAAAAGGAAAAACTGTCATACTATACTTCCATTTGTGAAGAAAAACATAATTCATTTGTTTTTGGCTATGCTGGACTAGTTTGGGAAGATACACAGAAATCTGATAGGAATAACTGGCTCAAGAGAGGAAAAATGGGAAATGAGAGACAAGGGTGAGCAGAGATATTTACTACATACCTTATTCTGCCCATTGAATGTTGTACTATGTATATGTATGCCTACTTTTTAAAACACAGTTTCAGTAATTAAAATCAATTAAATGCACTGGCCCTCCATCGAGAGACCTCATCTCTGCTACTCCAATCTTCTGTCACAAGTCCTCTCCAATCCACCCATCTCCACCTCTGCTAGATAGACTGCATTTCTTACTGCCAAATGCACTCCATGGCCCATTGCTCTGTGTTCTGCATTTGTTCGTAAGTTTCTCTCCCACCTGGAATATGCTCCTTCCCCACAGCCTGCACTTTAAGACCCAACTCTTATGTCACTCTACCCAGGAGTCCTCTCTGACCACCCTGATCCCTCACTATGGTTTCTCTCCTCTGAAATGGGATATTTATAACCTAGACTTTGCAAATGAGTATGTAATTTTATTTGTTCTAGATTACTAGCTCCTGCTTTGTGTGAATTAGTCTTATCTTGGTAACCAGACAGTTAAGTGTCTTGGGAGCAGGAAGGCAACACAACTCAAATGTCTTAGTACCCATGACACTGCCCAGTTCAGGGATGAGCACAGACTGAGGGCTCACCATGCCAGCTGGGTGGAGGACTGGATGCTGGAGAAGTGACCAAAATAGCCTCTTCAGAGATTTTGAGCACAGGGATTTTTTTGGCGATGAGACTGCTGTCACCAGGGTAAGACTCTCAGGGAAATTCAGAAGTTCAGTGTTGGAGAAATATGACAGTAACCACAGAGGTCAATCAGGTAACATAAATGTATAAATAAATGGGCAGAGAATAGAAATGATGGGCCCCAGAAATAAATTAGAAAACAATTGGCTTGCTTAAAGGTTTCAAAAATCCAAGTTAAAAAAAAAACAAAAAACAAAAAACCCTCCTTCAGGCAAACAGCTTATATCCAGAGTAGCTGAGTAGATCTAACCATGATCACCAACTAGTTTATGACCTTAAGTCAGAAGTGGCCACTAACCCATCTCTGGAGGTAGTCATATCCATGAGCAGACAGAATTCTATAACATGGTAAAAACAGCTCTAGAAAACCAACTTTTAAAGAGGTCAATAAATGAATCTCCTTACTCTATCTCCATGGAAGGCAGTGTTTATATCTCTTCCCACTTATCTGTAAGCCTGAGACCACACACACCAGGAGGCATTCCTTCCTGGTTCCCACAATGTCATTTAAAGGTGTCACCTTGCCCTTTTCCTCCTATATAAGCCATTGTCCCCTTTATATACTTTTGATTCCCCATCACCCAATGCCTGTAATATCAAAGCTCTCCATTCTCAAGCCATAACCAGACTCTGCTCTCCCTAACCTCATGTGTGCTTCACAGATATATTTCTAGTACAGGTGAGGAAGTTAATGGGGATTCCTCTGTCCCAGCCACTCTTCCTCAAAAGGCACCCTATGTCCCTAAACATTCAGTTTTCTGGGGACGGGTGACCAGATGTAAAGGAGAGAGCCAAGACATTAGGCTGGTGTAAAGTGTGCAGAGTACAGACAAAGTGGAGGCATAGACACTGCCTATGAATAGACACCTTTAGTCCCAGGCTCTGTAACCCTTAGAGACAATTGGACACCTTCTTCTACAGACTAAATCACCATATAAGCTTCCCTAAGACAGATAAAAGTCTTTGACACTACGCCTGCCTTGCGAAACAGAAGGGCTTTGTGATGCAGTCTGGTGGCCTGGTTCCATCATCTATGAGGTGGAGATGACAAGGCATAGCATTGGGAGTCATTAGGCACCAGGACCCTGAATGCCTAGATATAGGAATGGTTGCTCTCCTTGTGCTAATGTGGTTTAGACCATGTTGAGCCATACTGTTGTTCTGTGGGATTTCAAGTATCCCTTATATACCTATGGCTTCATCTTCATTATTCTTCTAATTATCTGGCAAGTAACAAGGAGTTACTGTGGATTAAGGTTGGAACCTAAAAGGATCTGCTGCCAGGTAGGGAAACATAAGACCATGATTGAACTAATTAAGCCTCAGATAAGAAGCTTTTAAGATCTCAGAGTCTCTTCTTTTACCACCACTCCCCAATTTTTATACCATGCATTCAGTAACTTTTATATGGTTCTTCTCAGAGACTAGTAATAATTCCTTTCCAGGCCACCCTACAGTGTATTCTAGTTGAAAAATAAAGAACCTCTCAGTCTGGTTTGGGTTGGGACCTAGATGAAATGGAATCTACATCCTGGATCTCAGAATACCTCCCAGTAAGCAGGATTTTTCTGGTTGGTGGTTTCTATAGGCATTTGTTAACAGAAATCCTTTGGCTATTACACCTACACACCCTTTAATCTGTTCCACTCTTTCTCTTGCTTCATCATAAACCTCATGCATAACTTCTCCTGGGAAATAAATGAGAGGTATTGAGTATGGAAGAGCCTTGAAATAAATAAAAAACAAGCAGAGAAGGGAAATGTTGAGGTGAAAAGAAATGGGTATGGAAAGGAAAGTTAGGAAAGTAAATAAAATATAGACAGACACATAGAAAGGGATTGGGAAATGTGTATTAGCTTTGTCATGTTTTAAACATGAATAGAAATGGTGTCCCAGCTTCATACTCTAACATTTTGTCTTTAAGCGTCACAGAAAAGTCAGGATAAGAGATGCAGCAACAGGAGGTAAGGTCTGTCTCTGTTCTGACTCCCCTCACTATGGACAAGATTCCCCTGACTCCTACTCCTACTCCAACAAGTAGCCTGGTGCTCTAACCACTGAAGGCTCCAATTACCCCAGTTGACAGATTCTCCCAGAAGACTTTCTTGGGTGGGAAATCAGGGCCTAGGAATGTTCCAGAATTCTCTACCTTACCCCTGCCCCTGGGAAGGAAGAATGAAGAAGCAGGACAGAAGCCTTTAGCTGTGTCATTTACTAGCTTTATGACCCTGTGGAAGTCGCTTCATCTCTCAGTCTGTGATCCCTGAAATGGGCATCTCATGATCCTGCCTCACTCACGGTGTGGTTGTGATGATCAAATGAAATTAGGTCCGGGACAGCATGTTGCAAGGGGTTAAGTTGTACACAGACATGCCTTAGAGCATTGACTGTTGGGGTTTTCAGCCTCTTCTTACTCAAAGACCTTCAGCTTGCTATAGGATGTCCCTGCATCCTCTCATTCCTTGTAACACTGTCCTGGTTTTTCAGCTAGGAGATTTTGCCAGGAAGAAGCTGAGAAGCCATGGGAGCTGCTCTCTGTTATGAAAAGGTGATCACTTGCTCTTTGCAGTCTCCAAACCCCCAGCCTGGCCTGTGATGATTTCTCTGCTTGGCCTGGGGCAGGGAGGAGAAGAGGGATAATGTCTGGGAGGGAGTCAGACACTGGATGCTGAAGACTGATTGAGACTGCCAGGGCAGAGGGGGATCAGGTGTCTCAGGAAGGAGGAGTCTTCCAGTTCTGCTCTGGGCTAGGTTCACAGTGGTCCTGAAATTCAGGATTTTGCTACTATGTAATTCATTGACGACTCTACATGAGTTTGTACTCAGCCACAGACAAATTATCCAGTCAAGAGAATAGAGAAATGCATGCATAAATAAATCACCATGTCATATTCCCTTTATAGTTACAACTATTCAAGGGCAGACCCGTGGAACCTGCTAATATTACCTCCATGGTTTTATCTTCAGGGAGGCCAATTCCTGGGACAGCCCTCAGAAAGGATCGTGTCATCTTATCCTCTTCTTAAAATCTCTAAAGAATGGGATTGGCCTTTAAGAGATGCTATGTACAGGAGCTAGGACACTCCATAGTCCCCAGAATGCAGAGTTCCCACAAAGACCTCATTTTCCACAGCTTAGGAATACTGAATGCCAGGCTATGGCCTTCTTTTTTTTTTTGGCTGTGGCCTTCTTAACCCCAGATGAGACTGACTCCAGGTTCTTCTGGGAATGTTCCTGGTGATGCCCATTCAGCTAACCATTGGCTCCCTGCCTCTGCCTGGTTTCCTTCTCCTGGTTCAGCTTCTCAACATAGATCAACAGACAATACACCCCACCTCTTAGTCTCTCATGGCCCTGCATTCCCACGGGTTGTCTGAGACCTTGCCCAACAAGCTCCAGACCTTCAGCCCAGCCCAGCCCAACATAATTTGCCAATGGCCTTTTCTTAGGAGGCAAAGGAGATGGGTAAACACCATGAGGGTACAGGCCCCAAGGCTTCCAGGACTAGGGGAGGGTGAATGAAATCTCCAGGCCACACATATTCAAAGAGGCAGGTGTTGGGGTGCCTGGGTGGCTCAGTTGGTTAAGCATCCCACTCTTGATCTCAGCTCAGGTCTTGATCTCAGGGTTGTGAGTTCAAGCCCCGCACCGGGCTCCATGCTAGGTGTGGAGCCTACTTAAAAAAGCAAAACAAGGGCGCCTGGGTGGCTCAGTTGGTTAAACGACTGCCTTCGGCTCAGGTCATGATCCTGGAGTCCCGGGATCGAGTCCCACATCGGGCTCCCTGCTTAGCAGAGAGTCTGCTTCTCTCTCTGACCCTCCCCCTTCTTGTGCTCTCTCTCTCTCTCATTCTCTCTCTCAAATAAATAAATAAAATCTTTAAAAAAAAAAAAAAAAAGCAAAACAAAAGAAAGAAGCAGATGTCATTCCATCAGTAACTGTTGCCATCCTCCCTTCCCAGCCAGGACTGGCTTCCTCAGGAGGGAAGTGTGAGGCGGCTCCTGTGTGCAGATACCTGCTGCGAAATCTGCAATGCCATGGCTCTGGAGATTCAGCAGTTGCTGGTGGGTGAGAACACCCTGATCTCTCCCCCTTCATCAGGGCCATTGCAGGGCTCCTCTGGCCTAGAGATTTTGTCCATGTCTACTGTGTCTTTCAACCAGAGTCTGCAGCAACATTCCCTACACTCCAAATCACTTGCACTTGGATCTGCAACCCCCCCAGTGTTGCAATTAGTGGATCAGAAATCCTTAACACAGTCAGCTGTCCAGTCAGCTGGTACAGTCAGGATCCATGATTGCTGGGCTGAACACCTCCAGCTGGGGCAGGGATTTCAAATGCCAGAGGTGCCCAGGGGCCCAGAGACTTTGTGTTGTTCAAGACTTGAGGAGCCTAGGGTTCCAGTGAACCAGCAGGAGATGATGCAGAGCAGCCCAACCCTTGTCTGTGGAAACCAAGGACAACAGTCCTTGAATTCCCAGGTCTCTGTGCAGACCCTGAACGGAGAAATCACTACCCTGACACACCCTATGGCCTTGCATATGGTTACTGTCCTCCCTGCCCACCTGCCATTCCTCAGTCCTGAAGTCCTAAGGCTTCTTGAGGTACATGTGAAAAAATGGATGCATTTCCAGAGGTGGGGGCTACCCAGACGTGTGGAGGAGTCCCTGAGGCAGCTTATGCCAAATCCGCCGTTGTTTTACCAACCTATAAATAACCAACCAGTTTCTTTCATCCAGAAGAATACTTCTCAGTTCTCTATTGAAAAATTCGGGACCTATTCCTACCAGACCTGGGGTTCATGTATGGCCAGCCAGCCTACCCAGGCCTTCTGGGTTTCTGAATGGTCCATTATGGATCCAGAACAAAGACACCACCACCAGCAAATCCCAAATGATATGGCTCTGGCCTTGACCTCTCCAGCCCTTAAAGACTCAAGTGGCCTCTATGCACTTCCTGGGTACCAGGATCATGACTCAGTGGGCCATCTGCAGCAGAAATACAGCCAGCTATTCTGTGGACTCCCTTCTCTGCACAGTGAGTCCCTGGTTAACACCTTCCTGGGCTCTCAAAGTTTCTGCACGAATGGGAGCATGTCCAAGCATCCCTTGAAGGATTCTTTTCTCTTCAAGGAACTCTCCATTCTCCCTCTGCTACCTAAAACTCCACCCCAGTCTGCCACACCCTCTTCCCCATCTTCCCCAAACTGGGTCATTCCATCTGACTACCAGCAACCTCAAATCAGTGTCCCATTTCTGACTCTGGCCGAGTGTGATGCCCTGGAGTGGCACCTGCTGCAGAGGCAGCTCCAGCTTCAGTGGGGCTTGCCAGCTGTTTTCCAGAGACCTCAGCACACCCAGAACCCCATGCAGTATAGACCCTGTGGCAAAGCCCAGTCTCCTGAGACAGTGAAAACTTCCTGGCCAGTGAAACCCATCACAGTCCTCACTAGGGAACTAGTCTTCTTCCCGGAGCATGCCCGGAGGCTGCTAGAATTCCACCTCCAGCGGCAGTTGATTCACCATCGCTGGGGCCTGCCCCAAAAGATCCAGGAGTCCATCCAATTGCTCTTGTCCCCCACTGATCAGTCAACTCTGTCCTGGAGCAGCACAGCCCTAGCCAACGTCCATGCTCCCCAACCTACAGCCCTAGAGGCCACTGGGGCCGGTAACCCATTCTCACCCATCACAGGCCCAGTGTCAGTCCCCATGCCACACTTGTTTGACCAGGCCAAGGCAATATTGCAGGGCCACATCAACTCCAAATGTGGGCAGATTCACCAGGGCGAGGTCCCTGCTCGTGTATATAGCTCTTGGCAGTGCATAATTCCTGGGGGCCTGCAAGTGACTCCCTTCACCTGCATCCCAGAAAGCAAGCCCTTGGAGCTACAGGTAGCAACTGACCCTGCCCTAAAACAAAAAGCTGTGCCCTGGATACCAATGGCCCTTGATCAACAGCAACAAGCCTCACCAGATGCTATCACTGAACACCCTAAGCTGTCCCAAGCCCTGTCCGAGGGAGCCATTGAGAAACTGGAGACAACTTTGCGGCACAAGTACCTGGCCTTCTTGTCAGGGCTGCCTGCTCTTTATTATGTGGCTCTCTCTAGGGCCATGGCACCGGCAATCTCTACCCAAGCTGTAATTGCAGGAATGGTGCCTGGACCTGGTGAGTTCCCAAGTGAACCTCTGACTCAGATGATCTCATCTGAAGAGCGGTGTCTGAGTCCTGGGCCATGCTTTCAAGATGCCAACGAGACTTGTGCAGACATTGAAGATGAGCTCCAGGTGGAAGAGCAGGTGGAAGAAATGATCAAGGCGGTGCCTCTAGAAAGCCAGGCAGAGGCCTCTGGGCCCTACACACTCAAGAAACCCATTTTAGCCCAACTAAATTTCCATCTAAGAAAGAAGATCCTAGAGATACAACTGGGAATTCCCATAAAGGCAAGGTTGTCCAGAGAACAAACTGTAGCAGCCCCAGACAACACATCCACAGAGGAGTCTCTAGGGAGTCTAAACAACCAAGGAAAAACATTGCTCCAGGATCTCCCCATCCCACCAGACACTCCTCGTGTCCCAGATCCAGAATGGCTCCACCTTAAAGAACAGCTGGCCCTTGAGTTAAAGGCAGTGCAGCAGAACCAGAAGCAACCTAGTTCAAGAGCAATACCTCATGGTTCTGCCCACTGGGCCTCTAAGATCTCACAACCCAGTGGGGACATGACAGAGGCCCAGGTGCTTTGTGTTCAGTTGGAGGCCAATGTGAACAGCCCCAGCCTGGAGGAGCCCTGGAGCCCTGAGCCCCAAAGCCCTGGCCACAGCAAGGACTCAGCCCAAGTCCCCATGCTGGCAGAAAAGAGAGAGGACCCAGGGAAACCCAAATTGGCAGGGGACCACGGAGAAGGGGATGCAGGGTTTGCACACTCCTCTACAAGAGACATAAGCCTCCCTGATGAAGCCCAGAGGCCAAAAGGGATGCTTCTGAACAGGACTCCTCATAGCCCCTGGCGACGGAGCCGTAGCTTTCATCTTGATGCTCCCTGTGAACACAGTACCCGGCATCACTCTCAGATTAAGCTTCCAGAGCCACCTCCAGGAATCCCTGGGGCGAAGGTATCTGAGAAGAATGACCTGCACAGCAGTCAAACCAAGCTTAATGTCATCCTCAAACCAGCAAGGATTCCTAAGAATGCCCAACCTGTGGTGCCCCAGGCATCACAGGGCCAGCTTTTCCTGGGCCAACTCATTCACAGTAAGCCTTTGCAGGGCCAAACTTTGAAAGGTCAGGTTTTGCAGGGCCAGGTGATGCCAGTCCATACCCACAAGAGGCCCAGCCTTCCTGAATCGGGCTTGAGAAGTAAGATGAAATCCTTTCTGCACTGTTTTAACTCCAAGGCAAAAGGCAAAGTGCACGAGGAATCCATGTTCTCTACAGCTGGGAAAGTGGCCAACACCAGAAAAGAAAATGTAGAAAAGGGCCTGGCTCCAGCTAAAAGTCCCATGGGGCGAACCAAGACAGAGCGGATAAGAGGGGACTCCAAGGCTCGATCTTCCCCCACTGAGAAGCAGGTGGGCCTGGCCTTCTTGGATGGTCCCCATTCCCCAGACAGTAAGCTCCGGCACCGCTCCCGCTCTCACCAACTCCATTCTGCCTCAGTCCTGGGCCACCCCCGCCACTGCCCTCGGCACTGTCCTGGAGTGGCTTGTGCCACCCAACCAGGGAACGTACCCTAGATCTCACCTCTCACCTCAGAGGGAAACGTTGGTCTGCTCAAGAAGACCCAACACAATCAAAAGACTTGGTAGGCTCCCCCAACATCCGTGTCCCTTGAAGAGGACTGCTGCTGTCATTTTCATTAATGTGCAGGTGGGGCAGAGTGCCACCCAAAATACACTCTACGTCTCTAAGCAAAGCACTGTCTGTCTCCTCCTTCTCTCCACTGTGGTGTGTTAAGGGAAGGTATGAGGGGAGGCTAAAATGTCCTTCCCATCTAGAGAAGGAGCTTTAACCCACACTTAAGCTGGGTCAGCATTCCACACAACTCCTCCCAGCCCACCCTGGACTGTGGATAAAGGGGCTTGAGCAGAGAAGGAAGGTAAGGTAAATAAGGGTCAGGCTTGAATTCTATCATGGCTTCCCATTGGTGTCCTTAGGCCCAGAGGAGCAATGTGGACATGAGGATAGTAGTGACGAGAAGGAGTGGCCAGGAATCCCACAGACAGAATTCGCTGATGACTTCCGTAAAGGCCCATAGTCTGCAGGGGAGGTTTTCAGAGGAGTGCCACAGCACTCCCACCTTGAGGAGGTACTTTGTGTTTATTCAAAAGCATGTAGCTAATATGACAGGATGTCAAAAGCAAATGATAGAATCTCCCCTGCTCTGCTCCCTGTTGGTTATTGGCAAGATCTTTCTGGAGAACTCATCTGGGAAGCTGCTGTAACTCTCTTGCGATATCCCGCCTCCACTGCCGGCCAGCTGTATGGAATGAGCGACTCTTGGAATGAAGATCACAGTAGGCCATGAAGAGGGGCTTGTCCTCCCCTCCCAAGGGCAGGTGGGGAGAGAATCAGGGAAGGGGAGCATGTAGATGGAGGTCTGAGTACCTGGGACAGAGGCCGACTGTTCCTGACCAGGGTATGATAAGGGAGCAAAGCCAATTTACTTTGCACTCAAAAGAGCCTGGAGCCAGGAAGCCAACCCAAGGTTCAAGTGCTTTTGGGGGAAGTAGGTGAGTAAATCTGAGTTTCAATCTATTTGCCCTTAGTGTTATTAAGAGTGTTGGCTAAGTGTTGAATCTGCTGGGAAAGAACCCACAAACACAAGTGGTTTTCTAAACACATCCAGTCTTGTCAAGTACTGCCAGCAGCTTTACCCAGCCCCACTGCTATGTCTTATTACTATACCACCTAAAACTGCGATCCTTCTCTACTTTCCTCCTTTCCACCAGTCTTGCCTTCCTGAATATACATACACATATATAAGTGTATATATGTTCATTTTTATATGTTCATGCATATTATATGGTATTGAACTCACCTGTATCCTCTCCCAGGATCTGCCTGGTATCTTCCCCTCAGAGCATGACTCTTGTCCTCTCCCCAGCCAAAGATAGCACCAATTAGTCTGCCTACTCCAGCCCTCGGTGCCTGTCATCATTCCCCATTTCTTATGTCCTCCTACATTTCAGAAAGCACCAGAACCACTCATTTTGACTGTCAAAACAAACAAATAAAACAAAACCAAAAACTTTTAGCCTTTTATAGTGTTCTGTTCCACTAAACAGTCATGGAAAATGGACAGGGATCCAGAATTTAATGCCACCCATGAGGCTCTAAAGCAGATAAACTGCTCAGCACTGAACAGGGACTGTGGCCCCTTCGATCTTTCTGGAATGTCCAATAATTGGCTATTTCATAGTAATATCTGTTTATCATTAATGGAAAGATGATGTGAAATTCTCTGAAACCCCTGGAATGTAATGGAGAAACCCAAGAGGAAGACTGAGAGGCAAGCTGAGATCTGACCGTATCTTGTCTACATACTCCCTCACACATAGACTAAATGAAGTTCCTTCTACAGACTTATTTTATGAGACCTCCCCAATAACTTGCCATACTAAGGCAGTATTAGAGCTCTTTCCCACTTCCTGTTCAGTCAACCTCACTCCCACCCCCAGCACCACCACCAGCCTATGTAACCCTGGCCACAAAGTGAATCTCTTAACGGTGGCCATCAGACTCATATTCCTTGACCTCCCAAGGAGGTGTGATTGGACCTGTCCTACCTTCTCCCATTAACTGGGTTGGGGCAGGAACGGTGTCCTTGGAAGGAAGACTGAAATCCTGGCCCTTAAGGAGGCTACAGCTGCACAGCATAGCTGAAGGTTGTGCTTATTCCCCTCGATATAAGGTTAAGTATGAATAAAAGATTTGGGTCACCTTCAGAAGGAAACTTCTGACTGAAATGACCAGAGAATGATTTCAGAGAAAGATGATAAGCATGAATAAAGAGCAACAAAACTACAACACAAGGAAAACATTACAAAATCCTTGAGCATGTGTTTTTACAATTTTCAAGCCAAATGTGTGACCCTTGGAGAGGATGCAGATTTTAAGGCCAAAGTCACAAGAATGGAATGTGAAAAAAATCAGAGTTAAAATCCTAACTCTAACATTTGGCAAGTTACTTAACATTTCTGAGCCCCAATTTCTTTATCTGGAAAGGGGGACAACTGTACATCCATACCCCAAACCTCAATTACTGTTAATATACTGGTGATTCCCAAAGTCGCTTTGTTGCTCTAGTCTTTCCTCTGAGCTCCAACTGTATAGCCAACAGACAGGAAGAAGCTCCATCTTGCTCCAAAGACAATGCACATCAATTCAAAGTTTCCAAATATCCTCTATCCCACCAAACTGCTTTCTAATGTCACGGAATGGTATCACTATACATCCACTTTTTTTTAGACCATACATCAAGTCAGTCACTGGGTTCTAATTTTTTTAAGACTTTATTTATAGTCAGTATTTATAGACAAAACAGTCTAAACAGTATTGTTCATGTTTTCATGAGGCCACAGAATTTGCTAAAGGCAAAGCTGGTTGTTTTGGCCATACATTTCCATATTTCACAGGAAGAGGATACAATTTCGATCTGAAATAAACCACAAGCCTAAGTAAGAATTTATTACAAAAAAAAAGATTTTATTTATTTTTCAGAGAGAGAGTACAAGCAGGGGGAGCAGCAGGCAGAGCAGGCAGAGGGAGAAGCAGACTCCCCACCGAGCAAGGAGCCCAACTCGGGACTCATCCCAGAATCCTGGGATCATGACCCAAGCCGAAGGCAGACGCTTAACTGGCTGAGCCACCCAGGTGTCCCTCTCTGGGTTCTAATTTTGATATATCTCAGGTTTCCTCTTCCCTCTCTTTTTAATGCCTCTGCTTATAGTTCAGTTTCACGTCCTTTCTTTCCTAAAAAATTACAGTAGTATCTCATATCCCCAGGGCTTAGGATAGGGGCTGTGCATGGTAATACCTTAATAGACTTGAATCCAAAGTCTGGCCTGAGGAAGCAGATAAATTATTACATCAATGTGATGAGTGCTATGGTCTATGGGATCCTGCCACAGGAGGAAATACTCAGCTGATGAGGAGGACCCTAGGGTCACATAAAAGGGTCATAATAAAAATGACCTTGACAGGCATCTTGCATTTTGACAATTAAAATATTTGTGTACTTAGGAGCACCTGGGTGGCTCAGATGGTTAAGCGTCTGCCTTCGGCTCAGGTCACAATCCCGGGATCCTGGGATCGAGCCCCACATCGGGCTCCCTGCTCGGCGGGAAGCCTGCTTCTCCCCCTCCCACTCCCCCTGCTTGTGTTCCCTCTCTCGCTGTGTCTCTCTCTGTCAAATAAATAAATAAAATCTTAAAAAATAAAATAAAATATTTGTGTACTTAATATGTGCCAGGAACTATGCCAGACAAAACAATCACCAAGACACAGGCCTTGCCTCCATGGAGATCATTATGGTGTAGTCTCATGCCTCCAAATTGTCTAATCAACACATACAGGGGCACCTGGGTGGCTCAGTTGGTTAAGTGTCTGCCTTCAGCTCAGGTCATGATCCCAGGGTCCTAGGATGGAGCCTGGAGTTGGGCTCCCTGCTCAGCGGGGAGTCTGCTTCTCCCTCTCCCTCTGCCTCTCCCACCCCCCACTCATGCTCTCTCACTCTCTCAAATAAATCTTTAAAAAAAAAACATATACACATAGATGTCCAATATTCATCTCAAAAGTGAAATCCTGATTCCCTGCTCCCTTACCACCACCCAGTCACACATACCAGACCTATTCTAATTGCAGTATTTCCCACATCAGTTAATGGCACCTTCTCTTGTCCATTGTTCAGGCCGAAACCACTGGTGTCATTTTGATGTTTTATCTCTAACAGTCCATATCCAATCCATGAGAAAATCTCTGCCTTCAAAATGAATGCATGGGGCCCCTGGGTGGCTCAGTCATTTGAGCATCCAACTCTTAATTTCAGCTCAGGTCATGATCTCAGGGTCATGCAATGGAGCCCCACATGGGCTCTGTGCTCAGCACAGAGTCTGCTTATCTACTTGTCCCTCTCCCTCCCTCTCTGCCCCCACTACCACCCCCACTCTCACACACACTCTCTAAAATAAATAAAATCTTTGGGCGCCGGGGTGGCTCAGTCAGTTAAGCGTCTGCCTTCGGCTCAGGTCATGATCCCAGGGTCCTGGGATTGAGCCCTGCATCAGGCTCCCTGCTCGGCGGGAAGCCTGCTTCTCCCTCTCCCTCTGCCTGCTGAGCTCTTGCTCACTCGCGCTCTCTCTCTCTCTCTGTGTCAAATAAATAAAATATTTTTAAAAATAAAATCTTAAATTAAAAAAAAAGAATCCAGAACATAACCACTTTGCACTCCCTTTGCTTCTACAGTTGTTGGAATAGTATCATAACTAACCTCTCTGATTCCTCCTGAGACCATACCTCCAAAATCTATTCTAAACACAGAAACCTGGGGCGCCTGGGTGGCTTAGTCGGTTAAGCGGCTGCCTTTGGCTCAGGTCATGATCCTAGGGTCCAGGGATCAAGCCCTGCATCAGGCTCCCTGCTCAGTGGGAAGCCTGCTTCTCCTTCACCCTCTGCAGTTCCCCCTGCTTGTGCTTTCTCTCTCTCTCTGTAAAATAAATATTAATAAAAATTAAAAAATTAAAAAAATAAACACAGAAACCTGGTGGTCCTCAGAGAGAGATGATTGATTGATTGATTGATTGATTGACTGACTGATGTATGTAAAACCATGAGACTAGATAAGATCACCAAGGGAATGAGTGAAATGAAGGAAAAACCCAAAGGACTGGGCTCTGGGATATTCTAACAGTAAGAAATTGGAGGGAAAAGGGAATCCAGTAAGAGAGGAGACTAAGAAGCAGTACCCAGGGAGGAAGGAAAAGCAGAAGAGTGTGGTATACCATAAGCCAAGAGGAGAAAAATATTGCAAGGAGATAGTGAGCAACTGTGTCAAAAGTTGTGATTGGGCCAAAGAAAATGAGGACTTAGAATTGACCATTAGATTCAGCAACACAGAAATCACTCATGGCCTTAAGAATAGTCTGATGAATGATGGACATGAAGGCACGACTGGAATGGATTCAAGAAAGAATGGAAGGTGGGGCATCTGGGTGGCTCAGTTGGTTAAGCGACTTCCTTCGGC